GCTGACTAACACCCAGGTACCTATTTTACTGCTAGGTAACAGGGGCATAGGGTGAAAAACTCTGCCCATTGTTTCTTGCCGGCGCCTGGGATCGAACCCAGGACCACAGGATCACAAGTCCAGCGTGCTGTCCGCTCGGCTCCACTATGCGTATATCGGATAACTGCACAGTACCTCGCGCCCCAGCCTGCGACGAAACTAGCTCCTACCCAAAGGTAAACAAGAGTAAGAACCTCCCCAGCTGAACCCCCAAGGGCGGGCAATCATCGAGCAGCAACAGAACCACACGGAGATAGCTGCTCCTGAACGGCTCATGGAAGATAACCCTGAAGCCACAAGGTCAGTACTTACAGGGTACCTAGGGAAGGTAGCCCTAGGTTCATGCAACCCCAATACTCTTGTGTTACTTCCAGCTCACACACCACCAAAACAGAGCAACAACACTGCACTGCAGCACTGCACAAAGAGTGGAGCCAGAGCAATCGACCGTCACTAACACAACAGTCTCTGTAACTGAGGAGAGTTGCCGGCGTGGAGGACTGGGACCCCCCTCCTCCCGGGGAGGGGGGGTTGCGCAGACGAATGTGCGGCGGTTGTCGTGACGTCGTGTTTGTTTCCTTGTTTTTAATTGGGGAGTTCTGTTTGCTAGTTCAGCTTTCGGTTTGCAATTTTTGACCTCCAGTAGTTTGTTTTGAGATTCCTACCTTTCTGGGTGCCTGACCTGGTAGATGGCAGACAAAGGCTGCTTCCAATTACATGGGAGGTGTCTTTAGGCCATTGCTTCTCATGCCTCTCTTAAAGGGGCCAGGTTCTAGCTCTGGTCCCCGGTAGGCTTAGAACTCCTTCGATTGACTATTGCCACGGTCTAATATATACACATCAGTCCAGTATAGCTCCAGAGAGCCGAAGGGCCTCTCCACAGAAAAGAATTTATTTCTTCTTCATTCTTGCTCTCATTTAGACATTTTGCCTCGCCCAGGTTTAGTTTTAGCTTCTCTGTCTTCTTTTGAAAGATCTTGTCTTAACGACCATACTTAACCTTCCTCATCACTTTGTAATTTTCTACCATTCCTTAGTACTTCTTCCATCTGTTTGGCACCGTTTAGGGTGATCCTCAAAGGTCGATCTTTCCCTTTTACGTACTTTCCAATCCTCCTGTAGTCGCAGACATTCTCTATGGTAGTAAGACCTTCCATGAGGCCAACAATTTTATCTACTACTTTTGCTTCTTCTACAGCTCTTTCTGACCTAGATGTTATCTCCTTTTCTTTACAACCAAAAATTACCAGTGACTTCCATCAACTGTGTTTTGCACTAACTTCGGGTTAGATGTCAATTCCCTTCTCACTTCCAGCCTAATGTTTGTTTTATCCTGGTTGCTGTAGTGTTTGGCTTCCTTTACTGCATCTTCTATTTTTTTCCTTCTCCTTGGCCACTTGTGCATAGGTGAGTTGCATATCTTTCTTGCACTGTTCTATTCCCTGTGTAACTTCCTCCATCAGTTCTGACAAAAGCTGTTTATCCTGTTGAATTTCCTTATCTAACCTTTTGTAGTCATTTATTTTTTAAATTGCTTTAAGGGGGCATATCAATGTAAAATTAAAAGTGGTTCAATTTGCTTATAAATTTTTTTATGAAATGGTTATAGAAAGGGCTGCAGCTGGTCCAAGTTTCATCATCACACCCTAAACAGAAAAGGAGAAAAAAAATAAACAACGAATTATGCAATGAATTTGCAAATAGTTTCAGGGAACACATGTGTCAACTAAAATCATTTCTATAACACTCAGATATTAAATTAAGCACATAATAAAGGATTCTAGTGATCAGTTTTATCAAAAAAGTGTTTAGTGCAATAATATAATTTTTCAAAGTTACCCTTCTAAAAAATATGCAATATATGATATTTATAAATTTTTATAAAATCAACAAATAGACTTTGGACTAAAATGTCTACTAGATTCTGTAGAAGCACAAACGCTACATATAAGGTGAAATTTGCATGTAAATTGATTAATAAATGAAAGCTCTGAAGTAATTTGAAGGTGTAAATTACTTTCCAGAGTAAAATAAAGATCCAAGTTCGGCCACCTATAGCTGAGCTTGACTTCGACAGATTTCGTTCATAATTGGCACCCTTGCAGATAGGCATCCATTGAGCAAGGTGTGCAAGTTTCATGCAAATCCCTTGATAACAAACGAGAAAAAAAAATTGGCCACAAAAAAAAAAAAAAAAAAAAAAAAAAAAAATTTACATATAAATATATTGCACATACATATTACAATTATTACAAGAGTTTGTGCTTCTACAGCACATAGTAGACATTTTAGTTGACACATGTGTTCCCTGAGATTATTTGAGAATGTTGAACATTAGTTGCATAATACGTTGTGTATTTTTTTTCTCCTTTTCTGTTTAGGGTGTGATGGTGAAACTTGGACCAGTTGCAGCCCTTTTAATAACCATTTCATAAAAAAATTTATAAGCAAATTGAACAACTTTTAATTTATAATGATATGCCCCCTTAACTTCTTCCAAAGCTATTTTTAAATGTTTATTTTCCTCTTCCATGGCTTTGCAATTTGTTTCCAATTGATTCTTGTCCTTGCACAAGTCTTTCACTAACCCTTCAAGACCTAAAACTTTGCTACTCAAGTGCTCATTATTTTCTTTCCATTTGCTGATTATTTCTACATGATAGTTCACTATAATATCTAATTTTACTTTTTCGGCTCCTTTTGTGGCCGATGACCTTCAGACTCATGGTCATTTGGCTTCTGACTTGTGATTCTTTGGTTTTATGAAGCTGAATTTGGATTGGCTTTCAGAAAATATGGGGTCGCTGGGTGAGGCCCTCGCATAGGTTGCCAAAGTTGCCACTTGCCATCTGCCTTACTGAAGCTGTTTGGGCCGATCCTCCAGGAGGCAGTTTCCATGTTTTTCACCTCACGCCTTATGTGTCAGCAGGCCATGCTGGCTCTCTTTGATTCAGTTTGGACCCCTGTCTCTTCCGTCGGCTTCACCGTTTTGTCCTCTTTTGTTTCCAGAGGACAGTGTTGCTCTGTTTTTATCAGGAACTTTGGCAAAGGGGGGGGGGGGGACGACACTCCCGGAATGGTTGGTGCCAGGACTCAAGCTTGATTAGACCAGGGTAGGCCTATTGTGCCAGTTTCTAAGTCGGTGGTGACTGGTGCCATCTTCTGGTCTGGCACTGAACGGACCAGTCTGGCACCGAACGGTGCCAGACCCGATGTTGGCCACTTTGTTCGCTCAGCACAGAGGGTAGGCTCTCGGGGTTCATGTCAGCCCTTTCCCGGGTGGAAGATGTGGGGGGAAAGGCTGGCTCTTTTTGCCCACACCTGGTCCTATGCGATTTGTGGGCTTTTCGGGTCATTTCCTAGTCTTTGGTGGCATCAGCCTTCCTCCTTTTGGGGAGGTCATTGTGTGTCCAATGTTTTGGCCGATGGTCTCTCACATCATTCCTCTTTTCCACAGAGTGGACCGTCGATGTCGGTTCCTTTTTCTAAGTTTGAAGAAGCCCTCTGGTTGTTGGGTGGGTGAGCTTCATGCTCTGCTCCTGTGCACGAGGGTGTTGTTCATTTGGTCCTGGTGGTTGTTTTGTTGAGTTGCAGCCTGCTCCTCCTTTTCTGGCGAAGAATGACAGGGCGAGCTTCCAGAGGGGTCCTTTTGGTTGTGGATGCTTGGTTAGATCAGCTGGGAGTGCATTATGCACTGTGTCCAGTGGCAGCTTTACACCGCTACCCTTAAGCCACCAGTTCTGTTTCGGTGGATGTGTTGTGGGTTCATACAGTTTCTCTAGTTTCCTGTTCCAGGGCTCGTGTCTCAAGTTGTCCGCAGTGTCATCAAAGCTAGCCAGTCTGCAGTCTACCCTCATGCTCATGAGGTTCGGAAGTACGTCGCTTTGCTGGCCGATTTTGGTAACAAATTTTGGCCAAAATTTGAACACAGGGGTTTTGGAGGTCAGGTGTCTTGTTAATGTCCCTGATCCTCTGCAGCCTTGAGTTGTCCTTGGGTGTCTGTCACAGCAGTCGGTCTTGCCTTCAACTTGATACCTGCGGTGCTTCCATCTCCCTGGTAAGTCCCCTATTTTGTCCTCCTCTGCAGGTAGATAGCTTCAAAGAGCAAACAGGGCTCCCCTAAGAAAATCAGCTTTGAATGTAATGAAATGCCAGTTTCTGGGTGAGCCCCGGAGCCTCCCTGACACCCCTCACTCCCTCAGGTAAGCAGCTTTTTAATCATTAGAGAACTGACTGGTGTCTGCCCGGGCCGACTCCCTCCTTTCCCTAACAAGGTAAAGAGGGAAGCTAACTAGCAGGGGGATGGTTTGACAAAGTTTTGGTTGTTTGTTTTATTGTTCTTTTGCATTCTGAGGGCAGCAGTCTCGTTTTTCAACAATGTTGTGGTCTGTTCGGATTCGTGTACCTTTCTGGGTGATGGAAAAGACGATGAACTTTAACTGCCATTTAACTTTAATTAATCTTAACAGAAACTGCCATTTCATTACATTTACTGCTTTTTTTTTGGAGCCTCTAGGGCTCACCCAGAAACTGCCATTTCATTACATTTAATGTTTTTTTTTTTACAGAGCTTTTGAAAGAGTGTGAACAGCACGACAAAGCCTTTTCACAGTAATTCAAATTCCCACAAAACTCTACCATTTTGGTTTCATGGTACTTAGGGCTCATATTTGACTTAAGTGAAAGGGGATTAATTCATATTACAATACAAGTTCCATTCCTGAGGGGCCCATAAGATGTTTGTATGCAGAAAAATGAGCATTGGAACATGATAGCTTTTCCTATTATGGGAATAAGACTGTTAGAGGCCTTAAAAGTTAGAAGGTCTTAACAGGCCAGAAGAGTGATGCATGGCTAAACTTCTGTCCCTATTAATTCAAGACAGCATTGATCTAGCAAAATTTAGAGAAAAATAATATTTATATATGGAATGCCATAAACATTCCTAACATTGCTCTTACCGACTTGCATGCAATGCACTCCTTTGGGTCAGGGTTCGTTGCTAACTGATCAGTAATAAGTTTTTTCTTAAGCTTTGAGGAAATTGATTGAACAGCCTCTGCAACTGTTTGTCCTGTGTACTTTGGGGTGTTAATTTTATCTCGACCTGTGGAAAAACATCCAGACATGTAATTAATTCACATCAGAACAATTATTACAGATTAGTTTTAAATACGCACTAAGAATGCGAGTGATTAATACAGGTGAAATAACATCTAGTAATGAAGACTAATCTCTTTTTGGCAGCTGTCAACATAAGTATGATCAAGATAGAATGAAGAAGCTTAGCACAGCAATACACAGAACAAAAACTAACTTACTTTTGAGATGGAGTACCTGCTTGCTCATGACCTCTGCTCCTGACTGCTTGCGAGCTTTCACTCTTAAGAAATGAGTTTCCAAAGATGTAGCTTTTCGAATAATTTTGTCATCATCACTCAAAACATATGATGTTGTCACCTGACTATCGATCTGAGCACCTAGAACCTGTGTGGTAAATGACAATTATAAACTTTACAGACAGAATATTGCTTCATAATAACCTAAAAATCAAGTATAGTTTCCAACAGTGAGAACAGCACAGACGGAAATCACACAAACATGATGTATCAATGAGGAAATTCGTAGGAGCCATGATGAGGATTCGAACCTATAAGCTGGATATTCCCAGGCACACACCAGACAACCAGACCACAACGTGGCAAAAGGCTTGCAACCTGGGATTCTACTGAACCCACAAGCATTCCAAGGATTCCACTGAAGCCAAAGCAGGGATTTCACAATCCCCCCATGCACTCTGGCTGTTGTGTAAGAATGTTCTACCTCTGATGCTCCTCTTCACTACACAGAGAAATCACACTAGGGTGATGTATCAATGAGAAAATCTGTAGGAGCCATGATGAGTATTCGAACCTATGCACTAAACGATCTTCCGGAGGGTATAGACTCATTCCTCTCAATGTTTGCTGATGATGCAAATATTATGAGAAGAATCAAGACAGACAGTGATAGACAGAGACTACAGGATGACCTGGACAAACTGGAGGAATGGTCTAGAAAATGGCTGCTAAAGTTTAATTCAGGAAAGTGTAAGGCAATGAAATTAGGCGAAGGGAACAGGAGGCTGAACACAAGGTATCATCTGGGAGGTGAAATCCTGCAAGAGTCAAATAGAGAGAAAGATCTGGGGGTCAATATCATACCGAACCTGTACCCAGAGGCCCACATCAAAAGGATATCATCAGCGGCATATGCTAGATTGGCCAACATAAGAACTGCCTTTAGAAACTTGTGTAAGGAATCGTTCAGGACCCTGTATACCGTTTATGTAAGACCAATCCTGGAGTATGCAGCTCCAGCCTGGAGTCCATACTTAGTTAAATACAAGACAAAGTTAGAGAAGATCCAGCAATATGCCTCCAGGTTCGTCCCGGAACTGAGAGGAATAAGCTATGAGGAAAGGCTAAAGGAGCCGAACCTCACATCCCTGGAAAACAGAAGAGTAAGGGGAGACATGATAACCACTAACAAAATTCTCAGGGGAATTGACAAGGTGGACAAAAACAAACTCTTCAGCACGGGAGGGATACGAACAAGGGGACACAGGTGGAAACTTAGTACCCAGATGAGCCACAGAGACGTTAGAAAAAATTTTCAGTGTCAGTAGTTAATAAATGGAATGCACTAGGAAGTGATGTGGTGGAGGCTGACTCCATACACAGTTTCAAATGTAGATATGATAGAGCCCAATAGGCTCAGAAATCTGTACACCAGTTGATTGACAGTTAAGAGGGGGGACCAAAAAGCCAAAGCTCAACCCCCGCAAGCACAATTAAGTGAGTACAATTAGGCGAGTACTGGATATTCCCAAGCACACAATATTCACATCGTGTGCCTGGGAATATACAGCGCATAGGTTCGAATCCTCCTCATGGCTCCCGCAAATTTTCTCAGTGAGAACAGTGATACATCAGGTTCTTTACACACACAATGAAACAGCTTTTGAAATAAAAAATTCTTTTATATATTTAATTTTTTCTTTGGGGACTGCAAATCATCTTAACCCTTTAGCTGTGTTAGGTGATAGCCATCAGCAGCTGAAAATATGCTCTAGAATTCTATAAAGAGCCAGAGTTCACCTGACAAGAACATGTTTTCAAATCACAAAATGTTCTGCCTGGTCCTCTGACTTTCAAAACAAATCCATGGACCCAGAAAATGCTACCAACAGTTGGCAACAGAAACAAACATCATCCTATGTGCAAGCAGAAAAAAACCCAGCAACTATGCTTTCTTAATGATTAACACTTTTGCACTCCTGGCGGGTCACCTACTACTGGGAAGGTAGGTCGAGCATTGCCAGTGAGCACACAACCCAATGTTAAACTCTCACTTACAATGTTTATACTTAACACTTTAGTGCGCGCGGCACTCCCTGAAAAAAAAGCGGGTTGTGCGCGCGGCGTTCTGGGCGCTCAAGCGTGAACACAAAAAAGTTTATCATCTTTTCACGCTCCTAACATCAATTCTCGAGCTATGTTTTTCATTTTGGTATCAATGCGTTGGCAATAAAATTCTCTACAGGATCATATGCATAAAATGTCACCCAAGCATTTGCTATCCCACCACGAAGTAAATAAACACGAAGATGACTCGCCGTGACACCCAAACAGGAAGTAAATGTTCATACTCTTTCGTTTGTTGCCAGCCTCACAGTCATCCTACAGCGCTTATTTTGATATCACTGAACTCGCAATAAAATTCCCCACCCAGACATATGCCTATCAATGTCTAATTATGTTCCGCACGAGTGTGGGAACTGGGCGAAGCGTTAGCCGTGATTTCAGCAGCGACGACACTGTTGTGATGCAGCGCTTTGAAAGTTTATACTTATTTCACTGTCATGACATTATTTCTCGAGCTACGTATTTCATTTTTATAGCAATGTGTTCGCAATAGAAAGTTCTATAAGAACATGGGTAGAATTAGCCAACAGAGCATCAAATAAATTTGCGGCGAATAAAATCTTACGCAAATCTTACGCGTGTTTGTACCTATGAGCGTAAAAGGTTTTTACTTTGCTCATGTTTTTTCAAGTTTATACTTGATTCACTACGTTTTTTTTGTTTGTATAGTGTTCGGAATAAAATTCTCTACACAGACATATGCATATAAATGTAGAATCATGATCGCGGCCAACACAAGAGTGTGTGGAGTGCGCGATTACCCTCGTTGTGACACCAATTCAATAGTCTCTCCTCTAAGTTACAATACATTGCCGTTTTCTCAAATAGGCACAGTGCCTATTAGAGAAAACAAAAATTTAATGGCAAACATATTCCTACAAACCCCAAGTCGATCTAGTAGTAAATACCCAATATAAAACACGGTCCGTAAATTTACGTCGTGATCCGACAAGCGGTTAGGGAAACCGCCCGTAAGTCCAAGTCGAAAATCCAGGAAAGTGTTAATAATAAGACTAAGCAAAACTTTATACAGTGGTACCTCGGAATACGAGTGTCCCTATATACGAGTTTTTCGGAATACGAGCAGGATTTGCTCGGAAAATTTGCTTCGGAAGCTAGTTTTGGCATATTTAATGCTTCTAACCTCTCCTCGTAGCTCTTGCCCTTCAGTTCTGGGAGCCACTTAGTAGCATGTCTTTGCACCTTTTCCAGTTTGTTGATGTGCTTCTTAAGATATGGGCACCACACAACAGCTGCATATTCTAGCTTTGGCCTAACAAAAGTCATGAACAATTTCTTTAGTATATCGCCATCCATGTATTTAAATGCAATTCTGAAGTTAGAAAGCATAGCATAGGCTCCTTGCACAATATTCTTTATGTGTCCTCAGGTGATAGTTTTCTATCTAGAACCACTCCTAGATCTCTTTCTTTATCAGAATTCTTTAAAGATTTCTCACATAATATATAGGTTGTGTGGGGTCTATGTTCTCCTATTCCACATTCCATAACATGACATTTATTAACATTAAATTCCATTTGCCAGTGGTGCTCCATATACTTATTTTGTCCAGGTCTTTTTGAAGGGCATGACAGTCATCTAAATTTCTTATCCTTCCTATTATCTTAGCATCATCAGCAAACATGTTCATATAATTCTGTATACCAACTGGTAGATCATTTATGTACACAATAAACATCACTGGTGCAAGAACTGAACCCTGTGGTACTCCACTTGTGACATTTCTCCATTCTGATACATTGCCTCTGATTACTGCCCTCATTTTTCTATCAGTCAGAAAATTTTTCATCCATGATAGAAGCTTACCTGTCACCCCTCCAATATTTTCCAGTTTCCAGAACAACCTCTTATGTGGAACTCTGTCGAAAGCCTTTTTTAGGTCCAGATAGATGCAGTCAACCCAACCATCTCTTCCTGTAATATCTCTGTGGCTCGATCATAGAAACTGAGTAAATTCGATACACAGGATCTTCCAGATCGAAAACCATACTGTCTGTCTGATATTATATCATTTCTCTCTAGGTGTTCTACCCATTTAGTTTTGATTAGTTTTTCCAATACTTTCACTATTACACTTGTTAATGATACAGTCTATAATTGAGGGGGTCTTCCCTGCTGCCACTTTGTAGATTGGAACTATGTTAGCCTGTTTCCACCCGTCTGCTACGATTCCTGTACACAGGGATGCCTGAAAGATCAGGTGAAGTGGAATGCTGAGCTCAGATGCACATTCTCTCAGAACCCATGGTGAAACGCCATCTGGCCAGCTGCTTTGTTCTTACCGAGCTCCTTGAGCATTTTTTCCACTTCGTCTCTAGACACCTCTATGTGTTCTATGTTGTTCTCTGGAATTCTTATTGTATCTGGTTCCCTAAAGATTTCATTTTGTACAAACACACTTTGGAACTTTTCGTTTAGTGTTTCACACATTTCCTTTTCATCTTCCGTGAATCTATTTCCCATTTTCAACCTCTGAATATTATCCTTTACCTGCAATTTGTTGTTTATGAATTATAGAATAGACCTGGTTCTGTTTTACATTTGTCCGCAATCCCTTTTTCAAAATTTCTTTCTGCCTCTCTCCTCACTGCCGTGTAGTTGTTTCTCGCATCTTTGTATCGCTGTATGTTTGGGGGTGTCGGCCTCTTCCTGTATTGATTCCATTTTTGTGTCTTCGGTCTCTAGCCCTCTCGCAATTTCTATTGAACCAATCCTGTTTCCTAGTTCTGCATCTCTGTTTGGTATAAATTTTTTTGTGCCTTTATCATATATTTCACAAAACTTGCCATACATCTCATTCACTTCCTTGCCTAGCATCAAGTCTGTCCAATTATACTCACTAAAAAAATTTCTAAGGTCACCATAATGTCCTCTCCTGAAGTCTGGTTTTTCAACTGCTTCAACCTCCTTATTTTCTTCCAGCTTATAACGCATTGCATACTTTATTCCCAAAAGACATGGTCACTTTTACCCAAGGGAGGAAGGTACTGAATGTCAAATATCTCTTCCTCCTTCCTGGTAAATATCAAATCTAGCATGGAGGGAACGTCCCCTTCCCTCATCCTCGTAGCTTGTTTAACATGTTGATACAGAATGTTTCCAGGATGAGGTCTACAAATTTACAGGTCCAATGGGTCCCAAGAAAGCCAGTGGTAAGGATCAAGGCAAGTAAGCGCATGTGAGGATGACAATAGAGGAAAAACAAAAGATCATTCGGAAGCATGAAAATCGTACACGTGTCGTTGAACTTTGTAGGCAGTGCAACAAATCCATGTCAACGATATGCACTATACTTAGCAAGAAAAAGGACATTATGAGTGCTAAAGTGGCAAAAGGCGTAAGAACAATCACGAAGCAAAGACCACAAATACTTGAAGAAATGGAGATTAAGAAGTTGAAAATTAAGAAGTGGTGTCAGATGTGGGAAAAAATGCAAACTTTTATTGAAAAGTCTCACACAGAGAAAGCTGAAGTAGGGCATTGCATTAATCTTTTCAATGACAATGTGATGCCTCACTACAGAGACATCTTGCGAAGAAGGGAAAAACAATCTTCCATGGACAGATTGGTTGAGAGAAAATCGAGCAGTGAGCCACAACCAGAACCAAGTGTATGCAGGCAAAACGTGCCAGAGAATGCACCCAGGGACTCCCCTTCCAAACAATAACACCTCTCTTCCTCCCCCTCCTCACCATCTTTACGCCTACAGCATTCATCAGCAAGGGTAAGTAATAACTTGAACATAGTTTTGCAGGTTTATTTAGATGAATTATGTATAAAATTTAGTTTGAAGTGATGTTTTTGGTAGTCAGGAACAGATTAATTCATTTCCCATTATTTCTTATGGGGAAATTAGTACAAACAACACCTGATGCCCCCTGGCCAAACCAATCAAGCATCAATAACAAATAGACACCTTCCGAAACTAACTGACTCATTCTTTGCCAGAAAAGGAGCCGGCTGCAGACGAACAAACCGCCCACCAGGGTGATAGGAACAAAAGACTCATTATCAGAGGAGAGCATGAAGCTTACTCATCCAACAACTGGAAGCAAGAGAAACTAAAAATAAAACCTTCAAAAAACATTCCTGGACTGAAGGGGAAACAGTAAACCAAGAGGAAGAAGTGAAGGCACGAACATGGTCATGCAGGTTCAGGTGACATATGAGCAGGACGGAGGAGAAACAATGCATGAGACAGCGTGCAAACTGGAGCTGAAGTGGTATCGACCACATATGTAAGCTGTAGCGGCTCCACCAATACCGCGAATTATGAGGCAACAGTACAGTATTCGGCATAAAATGCTGATCAAAAAAAGCCAAGAAAGAAAGTAGAGTACCACCCACTCAGACACTGAAGAACAGCGATGAACAGAAGGTTAATGAAGAAAATCCTGCCACAAAACCTCATACTGCCACTTTGAGGAAGCCCGCAGGTGGAACACCATCACCAAAGCCACCCAACAACCACAGAGGTGGCAATAAACATGCATAAAAAAATTCCAGATGAGTAGAGTAAAGGAGAAGGTCAAACCAGTCAAGCATGTCACTGGGTCGGGTTCAGACACCAAGCAGGCAGTACCAGAAACCAACTCTCCCTCTGTAATTACCTAAGCATAATTACAGGATGAGAGCTACACTCTTAGTGTCCCATCTTCACTGCACTCTGTCATATAACGCTAAAAAACTACTAATGGTTTTTCGTCTCCACCACCTTCTCACTTAACTTATTTCAACCGTCTACCACTCTGTTTGCAAAAGTTAAATTTCTAATGTTCTTCCAGCAGCTTTAGTTTAAATCTATGACCCTCTTGGTTTTAAGGTACCAGGCTTCTAGAATTTTACTTTATCAATTTTGTTAATTTCCTTTACTATTTTGTATGTAGTGATCATATAGCCTCTTTTTCTTCTATCCTCTAGCATTGGCATATTTAACACCTCTAACCTCTCCTCATAGTTCTTGTCTTTCAGTACTGGAAGCCATTTTGTTACCTGTGTTTGCACTTTTTCCAGTTTGTTGATGTGCTTCTTGAACTATGGGTACCTTATAACAGCTGCATATTACAACTTTGGTCTCACAAAGGTTATGAATAATTTCATGACCTTTGTGAGGACCCTTGATTCCCTGATCAAGGATGCCTTTTGGCTGGACTGGTTGCAATGGGGAGATATTTTACCTGTCTTTCCTGGTCCAGCTGTTGCTCTGGGTTCTGGCCAGGATGGAGTCCTACCAGGGAAAGGTGGTCTTTCCTGCTCATTAGTGGCTGGCTTGGCCTTGGTTTCAAATGCTGCTTGCAGTGTCCGAACCCAGGCGTTTTTTCTGCAGTCCCACCTCTTTCAGAAAATCGGTACAATGACATATCTCGCTGGTATGAACATCTTGGTTCACACCTAGCATTTCTAATGCATCTTTATTGCCAACATTCTCACCACATGGCGAGCAGATGGCTGTTTTGATGGTGTCCCACCCACATTTGTCTTAGCAAAGCAGTGAAATTTTGGTTGGTGCTCTTTTCACCACTTTCTTTCCCCTTCATCATCATTCTTCTGTCTCCATTCAGGTGGTGCTTTCATTTTTTTCTTGTTTCTTGACCAGCATCTTATGCTTAATAATGTCACTTCATCATTTAGTGCTGGCAGAGCCACTACAGCTTGCATTCGGTGCCAATACTACCTAGGTACCATTTAAGAATCCTTCTCATACATTGTTTCACCTCTGGCTTGGTCATGCAATGCCCAAGCCCTCGTGGTCTCTTGATTGTGTCCTTGCCTTTCTTTCTTCTTCTTCTTGGTTTACAGTTTCCCTTTCAATCAGTGACTCCTTTTCTAAGGTAGTTTTCCCTATTGGTGTTTGCCTCTAGTTGTAGTGTTGGGGAGCTTCATGTTCTTCTCCAGGGTTGTAGTTTTTATTCTTTTGACCCTGGTGGGCATTAGGTTCATTTGCAACCATCTCCTACTTTTCTGATGAAAAATGAGTCAGTGGGCATCTTGAGGGGGTCCTTTAGTTATTGATGCTTGGTTAGTTTAGCCCGGGCTGCATCGAGTGCAGTGCCGGGTGGTGGTGCTTCGCCAATACCTTTGTGCTACCAAATCTGCCTCAGTGACAGAATTGGTGGTTGTTCTTGTTTCCTTCCTTCCCTGTTCCAAGGCTCATGGTTCTCAGGTTATCTGCACTGCCATTAAGTCCAGCCACCCTGCACTCTACCCTTCATGTCCATTATTGGTCTTTGCTAACGTGCTGGGCTGATATTCAGACATGGGGGTTCTGCTGGTCTAACAGGTTCTAGGCAGCCAAGTATTTAATGTTCCTGCTTTGTCAGGCTGGTGTTGCTTTGGGTCATCTTTCTCGATCATTTATTTCTTCTTTGTCTTGATTGCCTACATTCTCTCTTCCTCTCTTATGAATCCCTGGTTCTTCTTCATAGGGAGTTAGCTTCAGGAAGCCACAAGGAGTGCTCCCAGAAAACTATCATTGAATGTAATGAAATGCCTTCTTCTGGATGAGCCTCGGTGATTCCTCAATTCCTTTCCTACCTTCCTAGTTTGTCGATTGCTGTGCATCTTCACATTTGCTGCAGAAGTACCTTGGAGAGCTGGAAGAGACCTGGAGTTTTGCCCTCCCCCCAACTGGTAGGGTGGGGGTTAATGCTAACAAGCTCATGCAAGTTTTTAGAGATTCAATCATTTGTTTAGATTGTTTGGGGTAGTTCGTTTGCAAGTTTTGAGGCTTCTGTCACTTTGAACCCAGCAGTGAATATAATTGTTTGCCGAGTTTCTAAATGCTTTCCTGGTGGAGTGGTAGTATCACCCACCCACTACACTTTTGTGATGGGGTCAGGATCTGGCTCTGGTCCCCAGAAAGCCAAACAGAACTCCACCGCTGATGTGATCTAGTAGTTGGGAGTCCACGGCTGATGTGACTACCCAGTAGTCACGAGTCCACGGCTGATGTGATCTAATAGTTGAGAGTCCACGGTTGACGTGACCTAACTGTTGGGAGTCCATGGTTGATGTGACCTAGTAGTTGGGAGTCTATGGCTGATGTGATCTAGTAGTTGTGAGTCCATGGCTGATGTGATCTAGTAGTTGGGAGTACATGGCTGATGTGACCTAGTAGTTGGGAGTACATGGCTGATGTGACCTAGTAGTTGGGAGTCATCTCAGTGAGAATAGCTTCAAGGAGCCATCGGGCTTATCCAGGAGAAGGCATTTCATTACTTTCAACACTAGTTTTTTCATAGGACAAAGTAAACTCCACTACATTCATATAGAGCTCTTATATCCATACTTTTATGATTAATATAAAACCCAGAACAAAATAGTTGAAATCAATGTATGATTTAACTACATTACCCCTGTAAATCAGTGCATGACAAAAATGACCCTATAAGGGTTAATAACAATACACATACAGTACTGTATGCATAAACATACATGTAAATTCTCTACTGTGAAAATTAACACTGTTCTGTTTAGTGGAACCAAATTCTGGGGAATATAACTTAATATTTTACTAGCAGAATGTCAGTCTTATCATTTTATGGTGCATTTTCTTGCTATATTTATTGCAGGTGTGAAATACTTGAATCAATGCAATTTTTTTAAATTAAGTCAAGATTTAATAACATAGTTGAAAAATATTAAAAATTTATACAGAATCCATTTCTGTATAATTTCTGTATAATCCATTTCTTATTTTCCATTTGAAAATATAATGACATACTATTCTATTCATCATACCTCATTTGTTTGGTTGAAGTAAGCTACTGGCACCACGGTTTTGCAATTCTTCTTCAATTTTGTTACATGGGTTGAGTCAAGCATCTTGTATGTGACCTCACACTTCCCTGAAGCATCTACTTCTGTCTCCTTCGCATTTTTGACTTGGTGCTGTTAAGGATACGAGTTAGAATATTGCCATACAACTGCTATTCACAATTTGGTTTACATATACACACAAAACACTAAAAACCCTGATTTGAATAGTCTGTAAACCACATTTACAGGTGAATTGTTTTAATATTCCAAATTTTAAAAGCATTAGAGGTGGTTCTTGCCATAGAAATTTTAAAATCACAAATATTGTGAACAAGTTATTGATATAATAAAGATGTGTGAGCACTGCAAAAAAACAATCGTTGAGTGTAATTAAATGCAATTTTCTGATGTGCCCTCAATAGCTTCCTGACCTAAACTCATGTACTGCTATGCCTAAGGTATATGCAGCAATCCTCTGACTGGCCCCTTGTCTACCAGGAGCCTAGACCAGAATCTGACTCTGAGAGGTGAGGGAAGCTTGGAAATCAGAAATCAACCCAAAACTGAGGGTAAAAACAGAAAACAAACCCAACAAACAAGCAACGACCTAAAAAAAATTAAGTTTAAGGATTTGCACAGAGGGAACAAAGCAAACGATCATTGCTGCAGTGTAATGACCTTAACCATGACTGCCATGAAGTGGCACCCCTTGTCACATGGGTTCCAGCCAGCATGCCCCCACATTCACAAGCCACCCGAACTGAGCCTCTCCACCTCATGTAGAGCAAGGGAACAGGCAGTGGACGAGGAGCTACTGAGGGCCGATCAGAAAAGGGCATTTCATTATATTTAAAAGTTGATTTCTAGGAGGGGCCCCCACATCAATACAGTATCTCCCTTGAGTTAACTCAAAATAGTGCCTCAGTAGCAGAGGCCAGCATTCCTGAAAATTCAAAAAATTTGCAAAAATATAAATGCAGCCATGGGAGAGGATAGCAGAAGAAAAGAAACCAAGATAGAAGCATATCAGATTCATGCCAAATGACCAAGAGCAACGCAACCCCCAATGAGGCCGACAGACAATCAATCAATAAAGAGTACAAGACCTGTACTCTGTTTGAACGCCGAAAGCTCCAGAGAAGCACGAGCAAGTCCGAGGAGAAGAACGCCTAAGACATAATGCCTAAAGATCGCCCACTCCAAGTTTCTGAGTAGATAGGTGTGTGTACAGAAGGAGACACCATATAAGAAAATTAAACCGGACTTCGCTGCCTGGCACTCGCCACCAATTATGGAGCCCAACAAGGGGAGGCATAAGCACATGGGTAACTTCAATGTTAACAGGGACAGTATACATGGGTCACCATTGAAGGGTCATAACAGTATCCAAGGGACAAATATATTCCAAATGAAGGAATATAGGGGAATGCAAAAGTCTTCATGCACAACAAACACATGGAAGTGTGTTTTACATGTGCACCATCACAGCAGGCAGGAGAGGGAAGGAGGAACTAACCCCTTAGTATCTGCAGGCAGTGCATAAGTCTCCCTCACCCCATCAAGGAACCACTCTGAGGGAAAGGATAAAAGCAAATTTTGTGAGGAATAATAGCTGTTTTCTCTACTTTGGAAGCACAAGTAATAAGACCAATTAGGAAACAAAAATTGTTACACAGTGTTATAGGGAAGATGGGGCATGAGAGTGTAGCTCTAGTGGAAAATTCCAACAAACTAATATATATCGATCAAATAACAGACGTATTTATATAGCTACATCCTACATCATGCATCTATTGTCTACACCACTGAGGTCACGTAGGCTAGAGGCCATGGGTGGCATGATAGGCTATATTAAAAAACAGTAACATCCCATATGGCTACCACTCACAACAGACTGTAAAGTCAGCAAATAATGACGCCTTATGATGTCACTTCTCATTCTTAATAATGGAAAATTGAATCACAGCAAAATAATACTTAATCATACTTAAATCACCATTATCTCAATCCTATAAACAACTTTATCTCAAAATAATCGTCTAGAAGAAAGAATATTAATTCCAAAATGTAAGGCTGGCTACTCCACCAAGGAATGGGGCAGCTCCAGCACGAGAGCTCCGCAAAGCGGCTCACCATTTGTTTAAATTTTAGAGTGTGAACATGTGACTTTTTCAGGGACTTTCAGAGCCCAAGTACCACACAAAAACAATTCTAAACAAGGTGTTTACACCCTAAAACACTTTGAGGGGTGTAGTATACTATACTGACCCAGAACTATCATCTAAATCAGACAAACTTATCCATACATATGTGTAGCGAGGGCGAGCTCACATGTTTAGGAACTTGCCAGACATTGAAATAATTAGGTAATAATATATTTGTGGCAACTGCCGCCTGACAGCTCGAGCGGAGTAGACCTCGTCTGGCGAAGGCTCTGTCAACGCCCCTTTTTTGCCACACTTCCCTACCCTATCGTGGCTAAAATATGCCACCCACGATTTTTTTGTTATTTTTTCCATGATCAGGGAACAAAAATGAACACTTCTATAAGACGAAAGAATTTTTTTTATTTTTTTTTTGTTGCGACTGTGGGTGTGAAATCCATTGGAGCCCCTAGCAGCTTGAGGGTTAAGGGTTAATCATTAAATCACTAACATAGTTATCAAGTAATAATATTTGATTAATAATAAACAACTAATTAATAATTATTTAAAAAAATCTTGCTTAACTGATATAACTTGATATTGTTATATTCATTTAATCAAACCTCATAGTTTACACAATCCCCATGGCGTATTGGTAAAGCACTCCCCCGACACTTTGACCTGGGTTCGTATCCTGGCCAGATAGGATTGACTGGGTGCCAATTCTTAACTATAGCCTCTGTTCATCCAGTAGTGAATGGGTACCTGGTTGTTAAACAATTTGGTGGGTCGTATTCCGGGAAAATTAGGATTAAGGACCTACCCGAAATGTTATACATGCTAGTTGCTTTACAATAATGAAAGAACTCTTGAATATACAAATAAAAACAAAAACAAAAAACTAGCATTGAATGTAATGAAATGCTACCTCAATGGGAGCGTAATCTCGAACGTCCCAGGGAAGAAAATCCTGAACAAGCAAGGACAGTACCTACCGGGCGCCTAGGGAAGGTAATCCTAGATGCATAAAGCCTGAGTACTTCTTGTAACTCCTGGCCACCGCACAATACACACACAGCCAGCACAATCGCAAAGGGTAAAATCCAGCAAGATAATGAGGCCAGAGATAACGTCAGCTCTATACAGCATCAGTCGACAAACTGCTGGTGTCAGCGCTTGGCTGCCTGTGTGGGGACCCCTCCTGGGAAGGGGGGGTGTTGGCTTGTCGCCAACTAGCGAGCGCATTGGTTCAGTGGACATTAGCTTGTTTATTGTTTTCTCTTGGGGGGAGTTCTTAGCCACTGTTCGGTCATGGGTTCATGTTCCTCTGGTCAATGGCAGACATGACTATACTCTCAAACAGTGGAGTGTTCGTAAGCCATTGCTCCCTTTGCCTCTCTGAGGAAATTAGGTTCTGGCTCGTGGTTCCTGGTTATCTTGAGGTTATCTTGAGATGATTTCGAGGCTTTTTAGTGTTCCCACAGCCCGGTCTTCGACCAGGCCTCCACCCCCAGGAAGTAGTCCGTGACAGCTGACTAACACCCAGGTACCTATTTTACTGCTAGGTAACAGGGGCATAGGGTGAAAGAAACTCTGCCCAATGTTTCTTGCCGGTGCCTGGGATCGAACCCAGAACCCAGGATCACAAGTCCAGCGTGCTGTCCGCTCGGCCGACCGGCTCCCGACTGGTAGGCATACGGACTTCAGTAACTGATGCGAACTAGACTAATATGGCGGATATCAGTCCAATAGCTGCAGGAAGCTGATGGGGCTCCCCCAGAAAAATTACTTTCCAAGTAACTATTAAAAGCTAGGCTAGATATGGTTAATGAAATCTTTCAGATTTCATGAACCAGTATTTATAGTCATTGTTAGGTCTGTTTTTATTTTTATTCATGCAATCTTTTATGTTCCAAGAACTGATGTGGATGAATCTTTTTCTTCTTGTTGGATTGGGGTTTGGTTAGTTTGCATGAAGGGGTTATCCTTTGATGACCGCGCAAGTAAAAATGTTGGGAGACGCAATTATGTTGAGAATGACGAGATTTCAAAAGTGTTTGTGCTGTGCTGTAAATAAAGGAGTGGCGATTAAACAGAGGGGTGTGATAGAGGGAGACTTGCCACACTGTAGGATGGGATGTTGTGTTTATGGTGTCAGCCGATCCTTGGTGCTGTGGCGAGGCAGTTGTTTCCTGTATTTGGCTGTTGGCGGTGCCAGGTATAAATGTGGCACAGGTCAAATGTGGCCCAATTTGTTGGTCGACTGGAGATATTTAGCCAGTGCTTTGACTATTTGATATTTTTCATTTAACGAGAGGTCACCTCCTCCTAATATATGCTCGATGGTAAAAGGTATTTAAAGTGTAATAAATACTTGTTTGAAATTTACTCTGACACTAGCATTGGCATGCTCCTGAGGTGTTTGACAATGCGCTGTTGACCATCATGGGAAATGAAGGGAATGTTGGTAGACCTATAATGCTGTTAAATGTAGCCCCAGACTTTTGAATGTGATATGGTGGGTGTGAAGCAATCAACATTATTCCCATGATGCTTGCTTTACTGACAGTATAGTTTTTTTGGCTGCTGCTGTCAACTTTCACCAGAGATTGTATTGACCCAGTTTTTCAAGGTGGGTCTTTCTTTTTGTATGGCTCATCGGCGTACCTACTTGATACCTGCTTGATGGGGTTCTGGGAGTTCTTCTACCCCCCAAGCCTGGCCCGAGGCCAGGCTCGACTTGTGAGAGTTTGGTCTACCAGGCTGTTGCTTGGAGCAGCCCGCAGGGCCACATACCCACCACAGCCCGGCTGATCCGGAACTTCTCTTAGAAAACATTCCAGTTTTCTCTTGAAGATGTCCACGGTTGTTCCGGCAATATTTCTTATAGTCGCTGGGAGGATATTGAACAACCGCGGACCTCTGATGTTTATACAGTGCTTTCTGATTGTGCCTATGGCATCTCTACTCTTCATTGGTTCAATCTTG